AAAGCAATCGGTCTCAATTTTTCGAGCAACTGCGCATGTGCTGCATTTAACTGGGTTCTTTCGGTAACAAAGAGAAAGCTGAGAATTGCTGGTTTCTTTACGTCGTTACCTTTTCTTACATATCTTTGTAATAAAAGACTAAAGCCATCAATACACAGCGTTTAATAATAGAGAAAAAATAGCACAGATAGTGCGGGTGTTGAGTAAATAAAATGATCGCTCTTTGCAATCCTTGTGGGCGCGCTCAATTGCATCAGCAAAAGCGCGCGCGAAAACTGTGTTCGGCCACCTTAAAGTGAACAAATCACGCGTGGAGTGGTGTTTGTTTAAAACGAGGGATACTATCGGTATCTTAGCTCTTAGAGGAAGTTTCGATTTTGTTTGGTGTTCGGGAATACGTCGTGATTCTACTACTTTGCTTCATGCATGGCTCGAGTTGGTGAAATTGCAACGATTGTGGATTTGATACTTTCATATTTTTCATAATTCATTTGAAGTTATAGACGAACAGGAGAAGCTGTAGACTTTTTGTATTAATGAGGGTGCTTTTCGCTTCTTAATAAAAGAAAATGAAGGAAAAAAAAAAAAAAAAAAAAAANGTTATTGCTTACTGATCATTCGGATTTCACCAGTTTATGAACGCGATCGACGAAATTTTTGTTGTCCCAGATATAAGGATAGGTTTTAAAACCTGATAAATCTGCACAGTTTTCACTGAGTACCTGAGGTCCCGTCCACATGTAAGCCAAGAAATTTGAGAACGCAGCTTTACTTCTGCGGTTAGGCTTACTGTCCACACCAATCCGTCACGACATGGGGCTTTTCGAAAACGCTCTTCAAACTGAGAAATTTAAAAAGCCGGGTTAATTAATTGACAAAAACCCGTCTAACATAACGGCTGATCAAGGACGCGTTCTCGTTGCCTTACACATTGTTTTCTCCTAAGCCCTGAAAGCAGACTATCTGAACTCGTTTGGCCACGCCTAACTTAACCTAGCGCGGGAGTTTTACCGTGCGCTTTCGCGTCCTGCAAACGTCTGCAACAGGCAAACTGTAGGAGGACGAGAAAAGGGTGGCTCGAGCCAGGTGTGCCAGTCATAGGATCGGTTGACTTTCGAACAGTGAGCGGTTTGATACATCTGTTTTGCGTTATTGCTTCAGTGTTGTGCGGCGAGTTTACCTGTACTCTAACGGAACATAGTTTACGAGCAAGCTCTGCTGGAGTATGGGGTAAACTCCAAAAGATACCTCAAGACCTTGCTCGCAGGTTGTACGAAACATAAAGTTTACCTTTCCCATAACCAAATGGACGATAACCTACCAAAGGTAATAGGAAGTTTTTCCGCCTATGAAAGTACAATGCGCATATTTCAGTGCTGACTTCAGCGGTTAATTATTTATTTTTATAGAGGAGGGGTCCTTGCCGGCCTTACAACTCTCAGTTAGGATGAAATAATTTACCCCTAAAAGTAATTAACCAACCACGCACGTCCATGACACCGTATTAAGAGCTCAGTGCACTACAAGTGCGATAATGAAGTTAAGTGTTCTCGGCGTACCGTTTCATTTTGTGTTGAAATGGTCAACACTCCACAACCCAAATAAAGGCCCATGCTGACTTTGTCGTTTTTTTCCCACTGGAAGACTACTTAACGTTTCTACCGGGAACTTAACAAAACCGTGCCTTGCAAATCTGTTCTAACTGCACAATTTCAATGGAGGTAGCAAAGTTTTTTTGAAATTTCGATTTTGTACAACAAAGAAGAAATCACACAAGGACGAAAAGCCGGCAGGGCAAGCAAAACAAAACCGACCTCTCTGCCCTCCTTGCCCCGCCCCCCAAGCTCAAGCTGCAAGGTCTGGATCCGCCAATGCAACCCACATACAATTTAAACCAAAACGTCCCCAAAATATGTAATTTATTTCTACTCGGCCTAATTTTATTTGTAAAAATAAAAATTCTGACTAGCTTTATTACAAAGTTGTTTCAACTAATGATATCGTATTGATCGCCAGATTTTCAGTTAATTTCAGCTGATGTCGAGAGATTATCCACTTTGCACTCTACCAGAAGTAGAACGAGTTCCTTCATGTCTGACAGTAATACTGAAGAATTCAACTCCGATTTCAGTCTGTTAAAACAAAAACAAACAAACAAACAAACAAACAAACAAAAATATGAAAATTATCACGTTGTTGATTGCACTGTTGACCATGTTTATTCATTTAACCTTGGAGGTATTTTTATAAGAACCATTAATTATAACACAAGGCGACAAAGTGACAGCTGAAAGCATCAATAACTGAAACCAGCCAATCAGAATATATCAGTCCGATATTTTTTCAGTATTATTTCAATGGCTCTTTCGATAACAAAATCTTGCAATAAATGTCTTATTAACTGCAAGCTTGTTCAGGTCGTCGTTAAGAGGATATTTGCTCTCGTTTTTTTTTTTTTTTTTCTTATGTGGATCTCACTGTCCAACTCCAAAAAACCTTGTTAAAACCCTGCTCTCTTCTGCATCACTTTTTCCTGCGGTGGTCGGTCGCACATCATTAAGTGTGAATTGTTCTGGTATAGTCGCACCGTTAGGGGTCATTACGAGCCAAAAATGATTTATGATAGTTATCTTATGTTATCTTAAAAAATCCGATGGTTACCATGGAGTTTATTAGAATAAATGAGTATCAGTCTAGAAGATGCCAATTATACTAAAATAGTTAAAAGAAGGTCATAGTTTCTGTGCACGTGGTTGCCTACGTATTTTTACGAAATTGAGTTAATTTCTTTCAATTCATCTCATAGCTGGCTGCCCAGAATATTCTGAGACAGTAGTGGTTTAAGTGGTAGTTTGTTCTGTATTCAAATGATTTGCCTGCAGGCATGCTGTATGTCAGGGTCTTGTCGTGGCTAAAAGCACGTAACATTAACCTTAATATATACGTTTAAATTGTTTTTGAAAGTGAACACATCGATATTCTCAGAGTATAGTCGGTCGCTGAAAGAGTATCTTGTTTATTAATTATCATTTACAATAATTGAAAAATGGTTAGTCGCACTATACCAAGCGAGACAATAAAATTGTATTAAACGTGCTTTTCAGCATGAATGGCCTTCGAACGTTTCTCTCAGAGAATTGCTCGCGGCAATTAACACAATGAAACGAAATTCGGTAAATTTCGATCTTGCATCTTGTTCCTGGAAGACATATTTACTGAAAGCAAACGATCGTCATTCAAAATCAGTTCTTGTCGCAGGGGAATTTGCTGACCTGTGACTGCGAAAAAACGCGTTTCTCGACCAGTAATAAAGCGATGAAAAAATGCTGCCTTTGAATATTTTCATATTGATTCATTTGTTACTGCAGAAGGCTATCACAATATAAATAAAAAACTTTACCTTTAAGTTCCTTCAGCTTCTTGTTTAGATGAAAGAAAATGATACATTTGTGATGTGCGAAGTAGTGACTCATATCTTTTATAAAGCCCAACCCTGAGCCTTCCCTACGATAGGAACTGAAGACAATGCTTTTGGGTGACTGTAGAACTCACCAACTTTCGAATACAATGCTCGTTGCTCGCACCCAACTTGGTTCCAGCTACCCTGAAAAGAAAGCAGGACAAAAACCGTGTAAGAATCTGACGTAAAACACTAAAAAGCGCATTATCGAATAGTCACCTCCTTGAGCTTAGCTGCAGGAATGAGGTACTTTACACCTGACCGACTTGCTAAGCAGAATGAAGCACAAACAATGGAAAACTGCAGAGAAACAGGAATCTGTGTTATTATAATTTTCAAAGCCAAACAAGTTTAGAAGCCAAGACATTCTTCAAAACGTTTCATCCGTAGATTCTAGAAAACACGCTGGAAATGATATGCTATTCAACGGAATGAATGTCGACTGATCGGTCAGATGGATAATAAATGTTTTCGTTTTTTCTGTAATGGTTAGCCAAAGCAAACTGTTTACTAGTAACCCCATAATGCGCTTTCAAAGGAGAGAGGGCCTGGGATCGTTGTTGGTTGGGTTCTCAAGCAGCGGAATCGTTCCCTTTGTAAAAAAAAAAAAAAGTTGTTCCCTTGTAGAAAACTTTCCGCTGGTATATGGCCGGCACTAAAACGCTCTATTACATGTACATGATACACTTACTTTTTTAATCGCTCGCCGGATTCTATACTTGCTTTCTCACGCAATAAAAAAATCAGAGCCTGTTCGGGTTACGTCAGTAATTTAGGGCTAATAGTTTTGGTCAAGTTATTTTAAACGTTTGAAGCAACTTAATGGTCGAATGTACCAGCAGCCCTTGCGCCAAAGTCTAAAATAATCAGAATTGACAAAATAACTTGCTCAAGGCACCACTGCTCATAAAAGGAAGGACGTTGGTCTGGAATAGAGACATTCTACATGATCAAGGCTTAACTACTGATACCCCCGTTCTCTATCTTGCTGTTTGTTTTGAAATGCACCTTTGTTTAGCTATGTAAATGAACTCTAGATAAAATATAAGTGCATTTACCGAAAATTGAAAGTGTTGCTAGCAATGAGTGAGATCTTTGGTATTATATCCCCTTATATTACGCAATGGCAGCATGCCTTTTGCCAGGCAGATCAACTGTGTCTCAATTAGCCCAAGTAGTTCATCAGTTCGCTAAGGCTCTTGAAATGACACAACAGGTCGATGTCATTTATCGTGATTCTTCCAAGGCCTTCGATCGAGTACCCCACGAAAAACTTTTGTTTAAGCTTGAGTGCCTTGGAATCAAGGGTATAATCGCACCGTTAGGGGTCACTGTTAGCTTGGTTTAGATCTTACATATCTGGCAGAAGACACAGGGTTGTAATGGATAATGAGGCATCTGATTTTCTCCCAGTCACATCTGGAGTCCCCCAGGGATCAATTTTTGGACCCCTGCTCTTCTTGGTTTACATAAATGACTTGCCTGATGTAATTTCAGGGGATACATCATTGCCCCTTTTTGCCGATGATTCGAAGTGTTTTCGCCTAATTCTCGGCCAAGATGATGGCGATAAATTACAGGAAGACCTGAATAAGTTATTGGAGTGGTCACGCATTTGGGGAATGGAGTTCAATGTCAAAAAGTGTAAGGTTCTAAGAGCAACACGAACTAAATGTACTTATGAGAGGGGTTATTTTCTTGGAGGAACCAAGTTGGAGCGTGTTGCTATTGAAAAGTGTTTCCGAAACGAGCTACACACTTCGAAATGAGATAAACAAAGACAGGCAGTTTTGGACGCAAAATATTCAGTCTGTTAATGTGTTCACCTCTGTTAGCTAGCTATGCTTGTGTTTTTGATAACATTTCACGTCTCGTCGCCATCAGGTGCTAGCGAGTATTGCGTAGCTCGCAGTGCAGGCGTATTTGGGCGCGCGAGTGCACATTTTCGTATTAGGCCGCCAACTTGGATTTGGTAACTGTGGAGGATCGGGGCGAAGAAATATTTGCCGAGAGAGTAGGCGCGTGATTTCAAGTGCCCCATTCGACCCCCACTACCCCAACCCTCTACCGGTCAAGCACCTAACTGT